CCCCAAAACCCCAAAACCCCAAAACCCCAAAACCCCTAAATTTATATAATTATTGAATAGAATAATGACAGCCCCAAAGACGAAGCTGGGCAAAACATTTGAAAGACTTTACAAATATACTGAGGGCAAGCATAATAAGTTCTTGCAAAAGCACCAAGAAATGAAGGACATGATCGAGAATAGGGAGTTCCTTGGAGCAGACAAGTATGGAAACCAATACTTCCAATATTTCAATTATCATGGCCTCCCTACAAGAAGACGGGTTTATTACAAATTCCATAGCGGAAATAGATTCCATGTTGATGTCCACTTTATTGACTGGCTTTACAGAAGGAAGGCTTTACCTCCAAATAAATATGAATTAGAACAACTATACTTAGAAGATGAGGAGAGAGCTGTTAAAGCAATAGAATGGGATCGAATGGAAGACAGAAAGCAGATAAAATATCGTAATAAACTAGAAGCACAAAAGCAACTTGGAATGACACCACAACAGATGCAATTACAAACTCTTGAACAACAAAATAGCAAAGATGAGATCACAATCGAGGAATTCGAGCCTATTCCTTGGGAAGTAGTCAAACAGACTAGAACTGAATTAAAGAAATATCTCCCTCCTGAGGATCACAAGCAGCAACTCATTGCAGTAGAGGAAGGAATATTGGAAGAGCATGATAAATATCAAAAATATTTAGAAGGAAAAGGTAAAGACTTTGATAACATTGCATTTACCAAAATGGCTATGCAAGTGTATGGAGTCCGAAAACATTATGAAGATTTACAGAAATTTGGATATATTAAAGAAGATGTAACTGATCCTTCACAACCAATCTCAGTCCGTACTTAATTTCTATTTATCAATATAGGCGAAGCTCGTAAAAAGTTTCCAAAATATGCTAAAGAATACATGGATAGACCCAGAGAAAGGATGGAAAAACACAAAAAGAAAATACAACAACAGATTGATAAAGTCAAGCAAAATGAAGAAAAATATAGAAGATACTATAATTTCAAACAAAAATTTAGAGATGTCTTCGATGAGCTTGAAGAAATTAAACAGGACAAGGATTCTGAGGAAATTGATGATATTGAAATGACTCTTATTGGCATGGATGAGGGTCCAGACAAAAGAATCGTATAAAAATCCAATCCATCATAATTTATAAGGGGTTTTGGGGTTTTGGGGTTTTGGGGTTTTGGGGTTTTGGGG